CACGTTAATTCGCACAAAAAAGACAACATATATTTACCAGGTATTTTTTGCACAAATCATAACAATTTTAGTCAAGAATCACGAGAAATGATTATAGAAATTGCTAGGAAAATATGTCTAACTTTAGTGTTATCACAGGTTGAAAAGGCTCTTACGTAGTTAATTGAGTTAACCTTTCTTTTGCTCTTCCACAGTTTTATCAAGGATCAAATTTTAAACAATCAAATACAAATATGGGTTTTTGGATTAAGGTTGAGGTTGAAAAGAAAATGATATTTCATTATCAACTAGAAAATTATAAATATACATTATAAAATAGTAAAGTAAAGCGATAAGAAAGCAATTAAATCTCTCTAGAAGGTCAAAACTGAAGGACGTTAGGGGTGTACGTAGTTCCATTAATTCTCTGACCTCCAATAAATCTAAAAAGAACTCCTTACACTTCGGAGCTGAGGAAAATAATAGAGTAATAGCACTAAACACTCAAAAATTAAGTGTTAATTATAATGAGAAATTTGGTCTTATTTATAGAAAATCAGGGATGGTAGTTTAGCAGTTGAAAACAACAATTAAGATTAGTTGGGATGCTTTTAAGAGGTTGTTGCAACTTCTAGACAGATAAGAACTTAAATTGTTACCGTTGGTTGGAACTGTCATAACTCCCCATTTGCTCGCTTTGCTGGTTTAGAATACATGTGCACAAATCTTCCTCCTCACTGGGGCAGAAGGACAGCATTTGTGTTGCTTAATGGAGTTGTCTTTCATTGTTTCCCAGATTTAATTGGCTTTACCACTAGGATACATGCGTTTCACTGGGCAAAGAAACACCACACCTCATGGTCTCACTAGAGCGGAAGAAACCTCTAGCCGCTAGGCTTGGGCACAAACAGAGTGATTGTTGCTTGTCACGGAATGTGATTGCCTTAATTATTGCATTTGGCTTGATTAATTCTGGCCAAAATTTAACTTGTGTGGGACTAAGAAGTTAGTAAATCTTAACTAGAGATAATTGGATCATACCAAGTGAATTTAATGAAAAGCGTATGCCAAAAAATCATACATTGTGATTGTTTTCATAGAAGATCCAAATAATACACAAATTTCGCAAATAGAAAATATTCTCAAATTTGGAGTTATCAAACCTCATCAAACTAAACCTTTTTTCATCCTTGAACAAATTTAATTAAAGGAATGAAGAGTTAATTGTTCAAGATAGTCAATTATTACGTAAGATCATCAGCGTCATGGTTGTGAATCTCAAATTAAAACAAGTAATATTTAAGCATTCAAAACTTGTCAATATGATCTAACAACTATTTAAGTTGATAGACAGAAGTTTGCTCACAAAGGAAGGGAGCACCAACCTTTTCAAGTCATTGAAGCAGGTTCTTAGTTTAACTCAACATTTGAATTATGGAATAAGGTAAATGGAAAGGACAAAGTTCAACACTCAAAAAGATATAACTCTACTCTAAAAATATATCTAAGACTCAACTTCACCAATGTAATAAGGTACGTTAAGACAATTACTCACGTTTGTGATTATAATGGACATACATTATTGAAAAATTTAACTTGCTACCAAAAATCTAAAGTCTTATTGATCACTTAAATTCTATGTACATGTCCGCCATTTTTTACAATTCCTTCACTAAAAAATATCTACGAAAGGGAGAAAGGAGTCTCGCTCGCTCATATGATCTACTTCTCGCTCAGATCAGAGAGTCCATGTCTCATGCTTCCAAGCGTATCTAGGACCCGTTACATCATGGCTTTGAGTTCATTCTAGCCTTGACCATCTACACATATTGTTGAGATATGAAAATATTTTGACGAGTCAAAGCTTATTGTCCTCGCATTAAGTGCATTTGATTGTGTATGATGTTGGCTTGTGACTGTTCCTATGTTGCAGCTTGTGACTACAAACTATCCAACCTCGCTTGGATGGATATAGTGTTAGATTTAACCTTGTGTGTCCTCACCTTCAGTTTATCTTATTGATCACTTAAATTCTATGTACATGTTCGCCATTTTTTACAATTATTTCACTAAGAAATATCTACAAAATGGGGAAAGGACTCTCGCTCGCTCATATGATCTACTTCTTGCTCAGATCAGAGAGTCCACGTCCTATGCTTCCTAGCGCATCTAGGACTGCTCAATCATGGCTTAGAGTTCATTCTTGCCTTGGACCATCTCCACATATTGTTGAGCAATAACAATATTTTGGCGAGTCAAAGCTTATTGTCCTCTCATTAAGTGCATTTGATTGTGTATGATGTTGGCTTGTGATTGTTCCTATGTTGCAACTTGTGACTCCAAAGTATCCAACCTCTTTGGATGGACGTAGTGTTAGATTAAACCTTGTGTGTCCTCACCTTCAATACAACGGTCCTATCCTATGATCCGTCAGCCGCTTATTGAATTGATTGACTAATTCATTGGTCATAGCTCAGTGTATAGAAATTGGGTTGTCAACAGCTCACTCAGATCTTTCAGTCTTTCATCTAGAGAGTGCAAGGTTGCGTGAGGGGCAGAAGTGCTTGTCTCAATAGATATTATTGACTATCTCTGATGAGCTGGTGAGCTTGCTTGAGCATTTGCTAAAACTCTGGCTCTGTAGTTGCCTCTCTAACAGACACCAGCTGTGTAGCTGACTCATACTCTTTTTTGTTTTGCTTCCCTTGCACATTTTGGAAATATCTTTTCAAATATAATTTTGGTTGGGTCAACAGCTTCCACCATCTTAATAAGCATGCCAAAGTCTTTCGTCAGAACATTAAGTCCAGCCAAAGCCGGGGTCATTGTTTTTTTCTTCCTCTACTCCCAAGCATTTTCTTCATTTATGCATTGCATCTTGGTGAGCAATCGAGCCTTCCTTTCTTTTATGGCCCTTTCCTCATCATATTACTCCTCAAATAGAGTAGATGGATCAAATTTTTCAAATTGAGGAGTCGAAGTAGTTGTTGGTGTTATCTCTTTAGGTTTTTTGGGATTGTATACAAAGGGCTTATCTTCGTTGGCCTCCAAGGTGGTTATATCTTTGGCCCTTGGAAACACTTGCAATATAGACAAACTTGTTATTACTGCCTCAATCCTAGTAGTTTCATCAACAGGTTCAACATAAGGGGCATCGGGAGTTTCCTTATATGCTCGAGTGGAATAATCCTCAAGATAGCTTTCAATTGTTACATCTACCCAGCTAAGCATTTCCTCCTTCAAAATTGTCTTTTGTTCTTTCGCTTGTCCAGCAATAGATTGCTCACTCTCTCACAACTAGTTTAAGGAACTGAGTTCATCGCCAAACTAGAATGATAAATAATTGGACTACTAGGATAGATAATTTGGCGGATACTACTATTTTGATTGCTCAGCTTCAGTGATTTCATTTGTACAAGCCTCATATGTGTGTTGGGATTTATGGGTTTAATTCTTGTTGGGTGGGAGGTGGTTGATCAGTTGGGAGAGTTATTTCTCAGTGGACCAACCACTTGTTTATGGTAATCCTTTTCCTTAGATAGGGAATGGGGATTAAATCCTTATTACTTCAATGGAAGCATATCAACTTTGGCTTCTCGACACAGCTCAGTAATCAGGGTCCTTTGACCCAATGCCTTATGGAACATACAACGTAAGCATATGTACAACAAATAATTTAACCCGAATCCATATATGATTTCTTCTCTAAAATAAAGTAAAGAACAACCATAAATTCGTGTCAATTGGACGCAGTGTAGGATGTGATCATAATTATGCTTAACAACCACTTGACCCATTCCTTCCTATCATCGTCCACTGAGCTGAACCTTAAATTTCTCTTGTCATAGCTTAGGGTAGTGATATTGCATTGTAAAACGAGTGTAGTTCTTTGGATGAGCAGTTCCTGTCAGACATAGGCTTTGATAGGTTTAGTATTAGTTTGGACAAGCCCCACTCACTAATACAATCCTTAAGCGGGCTTTGAATGCCCTCAGTGACAAATCCCCGCTTATACACAATACTTATTGCTTGGGTGAGCTCATAATTGGCCGCACTTTTCTTACTTACAAAGGAGTAGCGGTCAAATTCAGGGTTGTTCATGACAACCTCACTATTCTCCTGAGTTATCTACCCATTGATGTCCTCTATTTTATAGGCTTTTATCCTCGAATCGGTTCTGACTTGGATGATTTCTCTATCAAGTTTTTTCTCCATAACTCCTTCAGCCTTGGTGAGTAGATGCCCTAATTCTAAGCAATGTACCATTGTTCTATAGAATCTGTCCACAAATATCTCAGGTAATCCTCTAGAGATTTGGGTTGATCCTTCCTAAATGCACTTCTTTTTAATTTTTTCAATTCATCTCAATCCTCAGTTTCGTTCAACACCATTCTCCTAATGTAATCAAAGGTGGTGGCTCGATCAATTCTCCTCCCGGTCTAGTCTCAACCCTTCACCTTTTGTCCGAGGATAATATTTTTTGCACTCTTTTCTCAAATTTCTTCTCAATCTCCTCAAATTCCTTCCTCAAATTCTCTTTAACCAATATCCTAATTGGATGTATGGTTACCGTAGAAAAATTAGGGTTTGACAACAAGTTTCAAAATAGAGCACAATAATTTACACGCACGCCATCATAATCAGTGGAAAATTGAAAAGAAATTAACAAAATGGGATGATTTAATCATTATCATTGTAATTGGAGCCTTATTTTCTCCTCCCGTAATGAAGCGAACATAGTTCAATGGAGCTTCATTTTGAAAAATGGAAAAAATTTGAATCCCATATTCTAACCATTGACCTTCTTAAATTCAACTATAGAGAGTAAAAATAACCACACATTTTCTAAATCGAGTAGATAACATGGATTTTCATAAGATCAAGTTTTAGGAAATTTTTTCAAGTTCAATGAACGATGAAATTCTGAAGAGGTAAATCCTAAATCCTATTTAGTGAAAGTGAAATCTTGATGGATTGAGGTAGAAAATTGTGAATTAAAGCATGGGTTACCAGGATCTTACCTCAATTTCACTTAAAATAGGTTAGAACGGAACTTTACCATGCTGCAGAAGTCGAGATTCCAATTGAACACTGGTTGATCTGCTAGATCTATCACCATTGGAATTCCACCGCCAATAGTTGTCATCAATTAATTTTCCACTCATGCCCAAAAGAAAAATCCCATAATCAGAACAAGCTACGCAACCAAGGGAAAAACAAGGCGAAAAAGGTTGACTCACCACTTGCCCTTCCGAATGGGAAGGCTGAGTAGAAAGGAAGGGGAGATAGTTCAGAAACCTAATCAGATGATGTAGTAGTGGTTGAGCAGCCATCATCCTCACAGCCCAAGGAGAAAGATAAAGGAAAACTGATAGAAGCCGCCACCCGTATTAGTGAACTTGCCACAATTGCCACGAAACATGAAGAAGGAATAATTATTTGTGAGACATTAGGGCAACCCCTCAGTCAGCCATCCCCGAAGTCTATTCGACCAAAGTAGCAACATTTATCCCAGGGTGACAAGGATCTGCAACTGCCATTAGCACAACAAGAATCCGCCACCACTTCATCGCCTATGCAAATTGCCAACCACCCCGAGTAGGAAAAAATGCCGCAACTACCATCTTAACAAGGAGATTCATATGATGACTTTGAGGAAAAATCAAGAAGGCTTGAAGAAGAAGCCAAATGATTAAGGAAGTGTAAGAGGCTGCGTGCCTCGTAGAGCTAAAAAGAAATGCATAGTTCAAAGCAAAACAACAACTGATCATTCAGAAGAATAAGAAGGTTGGGGAAAGAAGAAATAAAAAGGAGGAAGATAAGCTCAAGACATAAAGGAGAATGGAGTTTGAAATAGAAATGAAGCTGTCGAAGCTCAAATTGCAGCCAACTTCGAAATAATGGAAGAGATCTATGCCTGGCAAGAAGAAGATCGGTTGGAAAGCGTCTACGAGGAAGCTATACAAAACATTCGCATAGAAGAGGCCTTACAACATTTGCATGAAAAACAGGACGTTGCAGCTACCTACATTTCCAAAGCCCCTCACCACCTCGCCAACCGATGGGACACAACAAACACAAATAATATTCATTTCTTTGCAACTAACACATGAAACAAACATGGATGTGGACACTACTAGCTCGCAACCTGAGACCACAGAACCTACACTAACTTCTATAGATATATCATTGAGACTCAGCTAGAAGGGCTTAGAGGCGAGGTCAATGAGCTAAGGAATGATGTGAACGCTAGGCTGGGGAGAGGATGGAAATTGACCTCTCCACGCTAGTCCGATATTTCCAGACTTGGTCTGGGTATCCACAATGATTAAAAATAATTTATGATATAACTTTTTTAAGCATGCGTGTCTTTTGTGTGAATAACTTGATATATTTTACTGTATGCTTAATTGTTCTATCTTAATTGTGCGTCTATGACTTTAATCACATTGAATCCTTATGATACTATTTTTCGAGCATGTGAAAGATTAGTGTTGATCCACGAACATGTTTACAGTTTCAAAATTAGAGTTTGGGCCCACGGGGTATGAGTCGATGCCCAAATGCCGAGTGGGTCGATAGCCCAGTGGGTATTGATTTGGATTAAGTGGGCCGGTGGCATGGTGAAATTTTGGGTCGGGAGCATAGTAGGTCAGACACTACAACAACTTGGCTACTATATTCCCGAAAACTAGTTTGGTATGTCAGACGGTTTGAACCACCCAACTGCGGCAGTTCAGTTCTTTAGGGTGTAACCGTCAAGCGGTTACTCTATGTTCTAGTGGCTGAATCAAAACCACTTAAATGATTACCGAAAAAGGAATAAATATTATGAATCTGGGGCTGATCAAAAAAAAGAAGAACAAAAAAGTCTCCTTAAAGAAATTTACTCTTTACTTTACTCTTCGCAATCCGATTATTGTGTAACCTAGTTCGGTGGTTAGGGATTTGGAATCTCAGGCACAACTTATCAAGTTCGAAATCTATTTTTGGATTTTACTTTGTTTAATGTTTTAAATTTTGCACATCAACAAATTGGTGACCACAGTGAGAGTCGAGGCAAGATTGTTGATCCTATGTCCGGAAAAAATTTCATACAACTCTAGTTCGATCGGATCATTGAAAGGAATATCAAAAAGAACCACATGGTAGGTTCTTAGTCCTAAAGCCACAACACAACCGTCGGAGCTACTACAATAACTCCACCTACCATCCCGACTACAGGGGGAATATATCCAGTACAACCCGAATGGTTGGCACATGTTCAACAATTGAACAGCTAGCAAACAGAAACCATGCAGGAAAAGTTTACTGACCAACAAAAATTAATACAAAATATGTTGGATCAGACTTTTTCAAGGATCACATTTAAGTCTATTCATGCACCATTATAAATGTCTCCTACACGGCTTCAGGCGAATTTTGTTGAACCACCCTATATAGAGAGCACAATCTCGAGCATTAGTATCCCAAGTAGGATGGACGGAGGGAAGTTCCTTCTCACTTACCCTAACAATGTCCCTTTTGGAGCGAAGTCTGATTTCTTTCCCCTAACTTATTTGCGAGAGGAGTGGCTAGGAGGCCACACGCAAGATTCCATCCCTATTCCTGATCATCCACCGCACATGATTGATCCCGAAGAAGTTGTGCATGTGTTAAGGGTACACTTCAGCATGAATCCCCAGATGCTCAACTGGCTGACATGCCAAAGGCCATTTTCGGAGAGAATCGTAAACGAGCACCCTATTCCAAGGAACTATCAACCTCCCGATGTTCATGTCCTCTCACGAGAAGATGGTTTTTTCACTATTGACACATGGGCCGCTTCACCACTCAACTTGGCAAAATCAGTAACAATCCTTACCATAAGTTGAGGTTATTTGGTCTATCATTAACAAGGATGGAATTTTCTTGGTTTTCCAATTTACCACCGGGGCAAATGCAAACCTGGGAAGGGTTGGAAGCAGTTTTTATGCTAGATTCTTTAATCCTCTTCCGATTGTGTCCTTAACCGATCTTCTGGAAACAAGGCAGATGAGTGAAGAAAGCGCACCTCAGTTTATAGAACATATTCGGGTGATGAAATGGAAGTGTCCGACTGTTATTGATGAAGGGAAAACGACCAATTTGGTGGTCCGTAATATGGATACCGGGCTAAAAGAAGCCCTGACCGCCCACGATATTCGAAATCTAGCACAACTTGCATCCAAAACGGGTCATTTGGAATCCTTGTTTAAAGAAGATAACGAAAATCTCAAAGGGAAATTTCAAAAAATGGCCAATTTTGGGACACATGTATATACCCCGGATCTGGCCGATATGAAGGGAATTAAGGTGATGACAGGCAAAATTATCCAAAGAAAGTCATACGCTTGTCCCAACTTGAAGCCCATACTCAGGGCGGAACTAAATAAAGATCAACCTACATTTGAAACTTCCAAGGTAGATGATATTTTTGACATCCTAGTAGCAGATGGTCAAATCCGAATACCGAAAGGGTCGCGATTCGCCACTGAAGAAGAAACAAGGGGAGACCTTAATGTAAGTGGCGCAATTTATTTACCCATAATACTAGCCAGTGAACTCACTTTCGGAAGGAAATACCAAAATCAATTAGAGAAGACATATTCAAGTATGATACTTTAGAGGTGGAGCAACAGTCATTCCCGAAAAAGATAATAGCTACGGTTGGAATTTCCAAAGGAAATGGTGCTGATGAATTAAAGTAGTTCCTGACCCGAATGGCTGAAAACTAGGACAGGTCAGATGGGACATTTGAGGTTGAAGTTAAATACAGAATTGCGGTACGGCATAGGGCTATGCGGAAACCCAAATACCAAAGAGTGATAGGTGGAATCATAATCAGAGGTCGCTACCAGTTAACATTGATCCCAGATTCCAAGGTATAATCGTACTCAAATTAGAAACGCTAAAATAAGATATACAGTGATGCAGGGTAGGCGACCAAAGAGAAACGGGCGTTGCAGACAGGTCCTTAATGACTCAAATATGGTGCCCGAATGGGATAGTAGGATACTTATACAGGCAAAAGAATCTGAAAGACGGAAGTCGCCGGTTGAATATAGATCTTGAAATGGAAAATGTCCCTGGGTCAGAAGGGATAACATTTGGTACTTTCTCACCGAATGAGATCTAGGATCTTATGCGGCTGAAATAAGTTCCAGCTAGTCGAGAAGATCCCATTGGCTATGAAAAGAATCAATACCAAGATGCCAACCTATTTTCGGTATGATTGTTAGGTATTCGCCCAATGAAAGAAACACTAATATGTGCCTATTTTTCGATGGTAAGTTGTACGAAGAAGAGTGAGCATCCCTGATACCGTACGAATAGTCTGGATTATCCCAATTTGTTTTTCCACACATACCCGAAGGGGCAACATCGCATTTGAAGCCTCTCTATGTCGATGCTCATATTTTTGGGAAACCAATGAGTAAGATTTTTATTGACAATGGCCCGGTTTTTAACGTCATGCCTCTCAAAACCTTGTATAAGTTAGAAAAAGCAGTTGCTGACCTTAGACCAGTTGATATTGAAATGACATGTTTCACAGGGCAGTCAACCAAACCAAAGGGAATGATGATCGCCCCCGACCCCCAATCGAGGTAGGGCCAAAGACTATTTCTACAGTCTATTTCGTAGTTGAGGTAGATACTACTTATTTTGTTTCTTTAGGGCAGGACTGGATACCTGCCTCTCTTTGTGTACCTTCCTCATTTCACCAGCAGTTAATGTTCTGGGAAGGAACCCTAGTTCTCACTATGAGGGCCAGCGCTACAGCGCTGAAGTAACCCACGCCATACTTCCAGGAATTGCCTTTTCCATCAATCTTGGGCAAGATCTTCTTACTATAAGATATAACACATCCATCGACATCAGTGGTTGCGAATGACTGATTTTTTCAATCTTTTCGACCTTGGTTATGTGGGATCAAGTCAGAAAGATTGAGAAATGGAATCATCTGATTTAATTTCGTTCTCAATAGCCATGAAATGATCATCTTAGGGCGATCCTTTTGTCAACTGATGTTCCTATTACACTCGTAGTCTCTGAAGCATGAGAACTAACTATGTAGCAGACAATCCTTTCTATCCTTCGGTAAGTATTGAGGAAGCCACCTTCTACTCGGGCACTTTCCCATGTATCTCTCAAATTTCTCTAACAAATGAATACCCATGGAATAGTTGTAAGCTTACCAATCAATAGTATATGTTCTCGTGAAGGGAACAAAGGTCATTTTCTAATGGAAAAGAATAGCCAGAAAAAACCTTAATTCTTTCGTGTGTGATGGATTATTAGGGTACTACGGAATTTGAAAGTATTTATGATCTGTATTTTGAACAATTAATGTTTAGATTAGAGAATCCTTAGACGGGGTTTGATATCCAAAACCAAAACGGCTAGTACAAGTGGCCAGATCTTTTGGAGAAAATAGAGCCATCCTTCTTGGCTCAAGACCCTTTGGTGGAATTCAATCTAGGGATGGAGGAAATCCCACGGATGGTTTGGGTTAGTAGTTTGTTATCACAATCACAATAGGAGGTATTGTTCGATAATTTAGAAACACATTGATTGCTTAGCCTTGGGTTATTTAAAAATGCCTGGGTTGGATTGGAGCTTAATTAAGTACCGACTCCCTATCAGAAAAGGTTTTAAACCTTATAAGTAAGCCCCCCGCAAGGTTTCACTAGAACTAATGCCTCAGATTAAGAAAAAGATTGAAAAGCTCATAAAGGTTACCTTTATTCGTCCATGCAGATATGCCGAATGGTTGGCTAATATAGTACCGGTGACTAAGAAAAATGGCAAGATAAGGATCTGTTGACTTTAGAGATTTGAATCCGGCCACTCCCAAAGATGAGTATGTTATTCTGGTAGCCGACATGTTGGTGGATTCAGCCGCAGGTCACCAAATTTTGAGTTTAATCGATGAATACGCGGGCTAGAATCAAATCTTTCTGGCCAAAAAAGATGTTCAAAAAATAGCTTTCAGATGCCCTGGAGCTTAGGTATCTACGAATGGACGGTCATGCCATTCTGTTTAAATAATGCAGAGGCTACCTACCAAAGAGCTATGAATGCTATCTTTCAGGACCTGATCGGGCACTCTATGGAGGTCTCTATTTAACGACTTCATTGTCAAATCCACCGACTTCCAAACACATCTGTTCGATCTTAAGAAGGCCTTCGTCCGAGTGAAGAATTACAATCTGAAGATGAATCCTTCGAAGTGTGTCGTCAGTGTGTCAGCTAAAATATTTTTGGGATTTCTCGTCTATGAGAAAGAAATTGAAGTGGATGCTAATAAACCAAAGCTCTATTGGATATTAGGCCTCCAAGGACGGTCAAAGAGGTTCAGAGCATGCTCAGGGAGATGAATTATCTGAGGAGGTTCATAGCAAATGCAACCAGTAAGATGAAACAATTACCAGACTCTTGAAAGCTAAAGCAATATTAACCATTACATGGGGTGAAAAGCAGCAAAAGTCCCTCAATGCCATAAACAATCTTTAACCGAACCACCAGTTTTGGTTCCACCCCGATTTGGCTGACCATTCAAGCTATACCTAACATATACGATTGATGTGGTGAAATACTAGGTGGCTCAGGAATAGGATAATGGCAATGAGAGAATGGTACTTTATCTTAGCAAAATTCTAGCCGGGCCCAACTAAATTATACCATGCCCAAAATTATGTGTTGCCCGTTGGTTTATGCATGCCTCAAACTGGAATATAATCTTTTGCTGAAGGAAATAGAGGTAATTGCTAAATTCGATATTGTTAAGTTAATTCTCCAGTGGCCTAATATGGAGGGGATATTGATGAAATGAGTAATTAAATTAGCCCATTTCGCCTTATCTTATAAGCTTACTTCAAGGGGCAGGTAGTAGCCAATTTATTGGCAGAATTCTCCGAACTAGACCAACAGAATTTCAGCAAAGAGGAATGTAGGAGTTTGATCCTGGGTCATGTTCTCTGACGGTTCCAGTACCCGAGAGTGTTCGGAAGCTTGAATAGTCTTAAAGGGCCCTGTGTCTTATAAGATAAAGCTCTGGTTATAATTGGAAGCCATGACACAGAATTCCACAAAGTACGATGCCCTAATTTTTGGATTAGAAGCTCTGGTAAAGGAAGGGGTGCAATCAGTGATTATAAAAGGGGATTCTCAACTCGTTATTAACCATGTGTTGGGTTTATACGCCTGTAACTTGCCTCATCTAAGAAAATACAAGTATATCATGAGCAAACTACTATCCATAATTGCTGAGGTTACAATCGAGCATATCCCTAGGATAGAAAATCGTTAGGCAAATGATCCGGACAGAATGCCCGTAGGCAAAAAGGACAAATTGAGAGGGAGCGGTCGAGTGTGATGAGTGTGGAATGGATGCAGTCATGGATCGGAGAAATGGGATTGGAGATTATTTGAAGAATCTAGGTTCCTCAGTTATTGTCGGTGTCCGACTAAAAGCTTTATGGTTTAGATTCATCGGGGATTTGTTATACAAAAGAATGTTAGATGATCTTCTCCTTCGGTGCCTAAGTCCCGAAGAGGCATTCGCCATCATGCAGGAGGTTCATGGTGGAATTTGCGGAACCCATTGGACAAGTTAGAATATAAGGTGGGCCATCCATTGATTTGGATATTTTTGGCCTAAAATGTTTGATGATTGTATTCAATTTGCTAACGGATGTGAAGAATGCCAGAGGCACGGGCCGTTAAATAACTTACCTAAAGTAGAGTTGCAGACAATAAACAAGTCGTGGTTGTTCAAAACATGGGCCATAGATATTATTGAGAAGATTCATCTATCCTCATCTAAGCAGCGTTGCTTTATTTTGGTGGTGATGGATTATTTCACTAAATGGGTGAAGACTATACCATTTAAAAATGCAACCCAAAAGAAGGTGATAGATTTTGTTCAAGATCATATTATTTTTTCGTTATGGACTCCTGCATACTATTGTGACGGATCAAGGGCTAATGTTTACTGGAAAAAGGTGTGTGGATTTTTTGGCCAAGTTCAACATACAATTTCATCATTCTTTACCATATTATCCTTAGGCAAATGGACAAGCTAAGGCGGCTAAAAAAATTGTTATTAATGTCAATAAAAAGATGATCGATGACAACCCAAGAAGGTAGCATTTGCTTTTGAGCACATCGGAATAGTCGGACTTCGGCATTGGGTTTACACCTTACCAACTCATGTTCGGGAAAGATTCAATCTTGCTAGCCAAAAAAAAGGTATCGACCACCCCAATAGCTTTGGCAGAAATTGATATCAACGATTTAAAAAGACAAGAAATGTTTAAGAAGTTGGAACAACTAGATGTGACTCGAATGGAGGCCATTGATCACATGCACTGGGAAAGGACCTGAATGAAGTATTACAATAGGAGGATCAATGCCAAAAAATTTAAAGAAGGCGATTTAGTCTGGAAGACCATTTTTCCAACCTATAAGAAAATGGACCAATTTGGGAAGTGATCCCCGAATTGGGAGGGGCCTTACATAATACACAAAGAGATAGGTAAGTGAGCTTTTATTATTACCGACCAAGAAGGAAAATCACTACATGATTGTATTAATGCCAGATACTTGAAAATGTATTATCCTACCTTTTCAATTCACAAGGCCAACTGAACAACCACATTATTTCGGAACCTAGCCAGGGGTTCGAACCCACTCAAGATCCTTCTAATCCTCATCTAGAATGGTGATAACTAGGGTGTCATCATCATCATCGGATTCGAGAGTCGAAGGATCAAAATCTAATAGAGGTTTTTCATCTAATAAATCATCCATATCGGGAAGATATAGCTCCCATTGCTCTTACATTTGTTCAAGGGTTCTCTCAGTTCGTTTCTTCATGTCCT